AAACCTAACTGTCTTAGGAACATATTTAGGTAATAGTTGATATAACAACTTGCTCCAATTAGCGGTACCTAAAGATAGTCACCACGATAAGCCAAGTAAGATCGAAAAAAGCATATTGTGCCCTACTAGTGAAATTCTAACTTCTCTAAACTCTAGAACATACCTGTCCATACTATTTTTTTAACTCATTGAGGGGTGTCTAGCAAAGTTCTCCAGTTTGGAATGTAAATGCCATGGCATACGAAAGATCCCTAAGGCCTTTCCGGTCACTGTGTGGCTAACTCGTCCAAATAAACAATAGTGGGATGCAACACCTCAAATGTCCCTCCCCTTTCCTTCGATAAAAATTCAAGGATGAGAGTGTTTCTTCTAGGATTGTAGCGGTAGGGTTGATTTTGAGGGATACTACCCTCTTGAACACATTTACCGCTTCGAAGTCAATCATACCTTCGGTCGATGGCAATAGTACCAACCCGTATATGCCCAATGCTAGTATTCTAAGTCCGAGGTTATTGTCCTTGTCATGTAGATGTTTTATGAATTTCGTTTGAAGGAGATTCCAAAACCATCCATGCGTCCGACCCCTCCGGGTTCTTTGCTTATTGGCAATGGTTGAATCTATTCCGGTTGCATGTGAAGTGTGCTAGAGCTTACTTAGGAGGGCTATAGAAATAGATCGCCTTTGATTTAGAAAATGCTAGCAAAGCCTCATACTCTTCTAGTGTGAGTGACATATCCACACTCCCAAAAGTGAAGCGACGGTATTCGGATCCTAATGCCTTATCATGGCTTGGAAGCACGAGATCCGAACCTTAATCTTAAGTAGTTGAGCTATATCACCATACATTTTTTGAAAGTTAAACCTATCGATAGAAGTAAGCATTTTCCAAGCAACTAAGTAGTGGTCTCATATTGGGTAGCTTGTCGGTGAGTTTTGCTTTCTCGAGCGGTTTTGACACAAAGCTCGGGGGTAGACAATCTCCCTCATCAATTTGGGCCCGCTCCGATCCGATCCTAAAATTCTCAATGTCATTTCGATTTCTTCTATCATGATTTAATGTGTAGGACCACCTATAAGAACCGAGGGTTAGTATTTACATTATTTGAAAATGATTCGTGTCTTAATCAGCTCAACCCTAGTGGATAGGATCTAGCTCGTATATAGTTTAGCGAAGCTAGTCTAATCCTAAGTCTTTTCAAGCTCCTGAACTCGTCTAAATTACCGGTTGGGTAATCCAACCTCCGACCTTATGTGTTAGGAGGTAGGAGAAGGTTATTCCACCACTTCCTATGCATAGGGCGAGTTCCGATCCAAACAAGAGTCCGGAAGAGCATCGGTAGACTTTCTTCATACTTACCTCCAAATCTCTCTATCTAAACCATAATGGGGTTCAACTCGGGTCCGAGCTTTTATAGGTTTCCTTCGTGGTGTGTGTGCAACATTTCAAAAAAGCATATAACCCGGTTCAAAATACATTAAATATGCACAAAATTAAAAGGAAATGAATTGCAAAAATTTAAAGACAATAAAATAATACAAGAAAATAAATGATTTGAAAAATAAAAAAGACATAAAAAATAAATGGAAAAAGTAAATAAAGAAAATAAATTTGCAAGGACTAAACTTATGGCCCGACATCCGTCCCCAATGGAGTCGCCATTCCGTCGCTACCCGAAGTCTGGTCGAGACTCCCAAAAAAAAAAAATCTCTTAATTAACTAGTTTAAGATTTTATTTTTATTTACAAAATTATTTACAGAATTTGGAGTCGCCACCTAGTATTGGAGGAACTAGGAACCTAAAATTGGCACTAGTTCGGAGATTCTATAGTAAGGAGTTAGTTACGCTTATGGAAAGATAATTAATCATCCAAAAGTGTCATTTCCTAATAAAGGTACCACATCTAGCTTAGTTCTAAATTATCTCCTAAAGTATTTTATTTTCACCAAATTATTTTTTGATTTTTGAGACTCCAATTTTCCAAGTTAAATTTAGTTTTTTATTTTTTAACGTGACATCATATTGAAACGATCGTCGAACCCCTTCCGTCGGGAGACACGTTGGTTCAAACATTGGATCCACTTTTTGAGTCTCGACACAACCAAGTGTGCCGGAGAACACTTGTTTATTAAAATGAATCTTTTTTAGCTAACAACGATCCGTATCGGATAGGAGACTTTGTTAAAAATTTTATGATTTTTTATTGTTTTTCTTTCTTTATTTTTTTATTTTTATTTTTTAGTGAAAGATTGTCATTAGTCCCTAAAAAATTAGGAGACTTGACAATCTTCTACTTATTATTTATTGAGCCTAATTACTAAACAAATAAATTAAAGCTACATGAATTAAATAAAAGAAAAACAAAAATTCAAATACCGAAATTTAAATTAATAACAAGCATGCATAAAGTAAATTGAAGGATAAATTAAAACAATTATAAAATATTAAAATAACAAATTCTAAATTAATATAAACTAAACTAACATGCATAAATAAACTTAAAATTAAAATTACATTAACTAAAATAATAAAAAAAATTCAATACTTAAATTAATTAATTACAAACATGCTTAAAAAATATTTTTTTCTTCTTTTTCTTTTTCTTTTTCTTTTTTTGATTCATCCAATCTAGCCCAAAATTTTCTTATTTTTTGTATTTTTGGACTGGATCGAAATTTCGATCCAACTCATCTAACCGTGGGTTGGGCCAAGCCCAACCCACACCATTTAAAAGCAAAAACCAAAAAACCAAAACCCAATCCCCATTTCAGAATAACTTAGATCAAAAGGCCCCCCTTTTTTATCAATTTTCCTTTCCTTCTCTCTCTTTCCCGTTTCTCTTTCTTCTTTTTCTTCTTCTTCTTCTTCCCCCTTCTCTCTACCCACTGCCATGGACGAACCACCACTCGGTTCGTCCCTATTTCTCTTCTTTCCTTTCTTTCGTTTTCTTCCCTTTCTTCTCTTCCTCATTTCCCATTTTTTTCTTCTTTCTTTTCCCTTTCTTTTTCTTTCTTCTTCTTCTTCCCTCTCCCGGCCGAAGCCACCCTCCATGAATGAACCGGTTATGGTTTGTCCCTCCTTCTCTTCCTTTCCTCTATCTTTTCTTTTCCTTCTCCATTTCTTCTTTTCTCCCCTTTTTCTTTTCTCTCCCTTTCCTTTTCCATCGTCTCTTTCTCTCCTATGGCCGAGATCGCCATGGACGAACCGATGGAGGTTCGTCCATGGCCGACCATCTAATTTTCTCCCCTCCCTCTCACTCTATTAACCTCCTCTTCAAGTGAGATCAAAAGCCCTAAATCAATTGTTGAAAATTTCCCCAATTCGACCGAACCCTAAGTTTTCAATTCTTCAAATTTTTCATTTAATTGGCCTTAATTGGATTAATTTCTCTTTAAATCGAACCAAATCCCACTTATTAGGAACCCATTTCTTGAAACCCCTAAATCAATTTTGTTTAAAAAAAAACAAAAAAAAACTTCAAGAACCCTAAATTTGAATTGAAAAAATTCAACTTCAATTTGGGGTTTAAACCCCAAATTGAAACTCTAATTGGCTTCAATTAAGTTTAATTCGTGCTTACCAACCCCGATTTCAAGTCAATTTCAAAACCCCCAAAATTCAGGACTAACCTAAATTGACGATCAAAAGAAATTCGAATTCAAAGCAAAATTGAATTAATTACCTAAGAGAATGAAAATGAATGTGGATTGATGCTTCAAGAGGTAACTTTTGTTTCTCCTTTTTTTCAGAATTTTATTGCTGCCCAGCTTTTCCTTTTTTTTTTTTTTTTTTATTGATCTCCTTGAATTTTTGGATAGCCTAATCTCTCTAAATTTTTGGACTCCCCCCCTCGTGCATATATATATATATATATATATGTGTGTGTGTGTGTGTGTGTGTGTGTGTGTGTGTGTGTTTGCTTGGTTGGTTCCCCCACTATGATGGTGGGGGATTTTCTGCAGGATATGAGTATCAAGTGGGAGAGGTTGGATGGGACTGTGGTTGTGGGTTGTGGCAGTGGTGAGACTGCTAGGGATTGACTTGGTGAGGGTGGAGAGTGTGGGTCATGCGGGGTGGTCGGCAGGAGAGAGTTGGGTGATGATGGAGCCGCTGGAATTTGCAGCGAGTAGGGTGGCCGGCGAGCGGGTAGATAGGGGTGCCGAGATTGTTGACCATGGAGGGGAGATTGGCAGCTGCAAGTTGAGGGAATTAATTGCTGCTGGAAATTGGGAGCCGAAACTAGGAACCAAATTGGTTCCCAACGAAATAGGATTGCGAGTAACTAGAACCGGAACCGATTCCGGGGAAGTAGGATGACCAAGAGCCCGAAACTAGTTATGGGCGGGAGTGGGCGACCGATCGCCCATTCCTCTACAAACTTTGTAATTTTTATTCTTTTGATTTTTTGTATTCTTTTTTTTTGCATTTTGGTCCCCGTAAATTATTATTAGGTTAACTTGGTCCCTATGCAATGTAATCCGATCCGTGAACTTTGAATGATTCAATTGTATCCTCAATGACTCGTAATTATTTTGAATTTAATACAATTGCATCTCTCGAATATTAAATTTACATTATTTTTGTATTTTTGTATTTTTTTTTCTTTTTGCAAATTGTTAAGTAAAATGAAAGAAATAAAAATAATAACACCGATTAAGATAAAAAAAAAAGAAAAAAAACTTAAAATGAAATAAAAGAAAACAAATAACCAATTAAAAATAAAATAAAATAAAGTCTGAAATTTTGGTTATGAGAAGTTGGTTTATTTTACTTTGAATAAACATCAGTGCAATCATTATACACAACGATTGATCATTTTCTTGTATCAAATAATTTTCTAGGACATCTTAAAAATCGCATGAAGAAAATGTATTTGTTAAAGGGCATGAAATTCAAATAATCAGGTTAACCAGAAGAGTATTTTTTTTTTTTTTGTTTAATACCATCTCTTAAAAGAAAGCTTACATTTTCTTTTTCTCCTGTTGCCCAGGGCCAACAGAATGGACGCCGATCTAGTTGGAGATTGTTGAAGAATCAATCGAGAGTTGATGGGCAATCACAATGCTATTCATAAAGGGCTTATCACCTTCTTGTATGTGCAATAGTCTACGTCATTGACCAAAGGTTCAAAAGCTATTTTAGCATGGACAGTGAAAAACATTTCGAACGGTGATGTATGTAAATTAGTAAAAGAATCATCGACTGATTGTGTTTTCGCACCAGATGTGGAAGCAACTACAACATTTGAAGAGCAGCTTGCACAAAGTGGTTATGTGGGAAGCAAATTCGATGAGGAAAATCCAATTTATGTAAGATCAAATGCAGAAGTAGTGGAGCAAGAAGCTCCTTTTGATCATAAGGATGAAGAAAACAGGATGGTGGTTAGAATATTTCATTGCCACACAAACACTACTTGGCAGAAGTGTATTAAGAATCATAATCAGAGGCTAACGATTAGGGGTCCAAGTTTCTATTGGCCAAGATAGAGGTGCTAGAATTGGTTATAAATGAATTCGATAAAGAGGACCCCCTGCGTCTAGAAAGGAAAGGATGCCTATTCAAAGTAGGAAGCGACATGCTTTGGCCAGCTGCAAGAGCTAAAGCACTGTAAAAATAAGAGACATATATGAAAGTGAATGGAAAATAATAAGGTGGCCTCGTTGGTATGGATTGCAGTTTAATATAGAGTTGATCCAAAGTCGAAAGAAAGAAAAGAAAATCAGCAAAACACATTATTCAATTCATTATTTCTTTGATGCTCTATTTTTTTTTTTTTTTTTTCAGACGAGAAGTTGAAATAAAAGCAAGTGAACAACAAATCGACAACTCGATAGCAACCTTCATTGATAGGTAGTACAAAATGACATGGAAGTCAAGAGTAAGAAAATGAAAAAAGGAAAAGCAGTCAGTGTATCGATGGCAAACTTAATTGATAGAAAGCATAGTTAAGCGCAATGATAATGGAACATAAAATGACTTTAGTGATTAGAGAATAATTTAGTATTATGAACCCTAATAAAGGCAAGGCAATGGAAATGGGAATAATGTCCTTGAACATTGTTTCCTGTTTATTGTAACAAAGCAAGCGACGATAAATGTAAGAAAAGAAATGCATCTATAGCAAACAAAATTAGAATTTTTCAACATTAATATATTTTGATCCTGTACAACTTCTTGAAGAGTGTAGGTAAATTTAAAGGGTAGATTGTATAGCTAATGAAAACATATTTATCGGATTGATATAATTTAGATGCACCATATGCTCTTCAATTGTAAACCTGAGCAATGTAATTCTACCACTTGTAATAGCAAAATTAAAAATATTTGTAACCTTTTTTTATTTTAAAATCTTGCATTATTTAGGCAAACTTGAATCTTTTAATAGAAAATTGTTTATATCATTCATTATCTGAACCTATCATCTTTGGTTGCAAAAAGGATATAAAACAGCAGATTCAAGTTATTATCATTAGAAAGTTAATTTGGTTTATCAGGAAGAATTTGGCCAGATGGCTAGATTCATGGTCAACGGAAATTGAGGTCATAGCATAAGAATCCAATAAATTTTATGTTTCAGGCAACCTTATTGAAATAAGTCATAAATAAATGAGAAAGAAAAGAGAAAGATAGCACGAACAAATGAAGGACCATAAGACGTAAATCAAAAAAGCAAAACTGATCAGCAAGCATGGAAAATTTATATTAACAACAAAAAAAAAAAAAAAAAAAAGGCAACCTAAACAATTGAGTGGTGAGAAACTGTTTCGATAGTCAGAGAGTGAATGACCAATCGATGCATAAGCAATGTAATAAACTAATGTAAACACAATGCTGAAGTGGATTCATAAGGATGAAGCCAATATATATATATATGGTGGAGATAAAAGGGTGTATGAACTTAAAACCTTCATTAATATTTTATTTTATGTTTTTTATATTAAGAAATGGTATAAAGAATCAATCTCACTTCATAGGATTTAATATGATATAATATGATTAGTTAATCGGTCCTTTGCACACAAGGACAGAAACAGAAAAAGTATTAAAAAATGTAAAAATTTTCCTTTACAAAATGTCAAACAAAATTTTTTTAGGTGTGGAGGAAATAAAAAAGGTGTATGCACTAATTTTTGCTCGGCTAGTTGGCAACTGGGAAGAAAGTTTGATTACGAAACAGTAATTGGTTTGCAAAGTTAGAGTCCACTGTAAATGCAGTTTTAAAAAAAACACCACAACATTAAAAGTCCAAGATGTTTGAACCAATTTACTAAGATTGTGCATGGCTTGTGTACCCCTTAAATTAGATCTTGCAATACGGCTTCTAAATTGGTCTAAACAGAAAAGATTAAAAAGTGTATATATATATATATATATTTTTTTTTTGTAAGAAATTTTCTAAGTATACAAAATTTCAAAATGATTAAAAAAAAAAAAAGAATAAATCAATCAAGAATGAAGATTTGAAAGTTTGAAAAGTAACCAATCTAATTATTAATAAGAGAAAGTTATGGAAATGCATATGGATATCCTCTCATCTAAAATTCGATACACCCTGTGCTAATCCCAAATGAAAAAAAATCAAAAGTCTTAGTCATGAAAACCTAAAAGCAAATACAATATAGTCAATTACTAACTACTCATATTAGTTTTCGAATGAAAAATAGACGAAACTCCAACGACAAAAGAAATTGTAGGACCCGAAGCATTAAAGGGCAAAAAAGGAACACAAACAAAGAAAGGGATTGGAGAATTGCTACATCAACAACCCAATGGTTTCATTTTAATTACATAAATTTATAAATGATTCGGGAAAAAAATGAAATTAATCAAAATCTTTTTTGCAAGTGGTAAAACAAACCCAACTACTATCTATCTTAATGTGATAAAACAAGCATTATATTTAGTAAATCCAACCCAACACAACCATGACCAATGTTCAGTGGTGAAAAAACCCAAGATAACCGCAATCGATAAGAAAGAGCAGGAAATGAAGAATTCAATGATAGGATAATAAAGTTTGTTTGAAACATTTTGAAGAACAAATCAATGTAACTATCTTCTACAAAATGGAATATGGATGTATTTGGCATGCTCACTCGCACTAATGAAGTACAAAAGGCAACACATTATTGTTCTAAGCTTGAAATTGAAGAGGTGCAATGAAGAGAATATATGAACATAATAGCAAGATCAATCTAAGATAGAAAATATGTGAACTTGAGATAAGAAAACAAAGCTTAACATGAAACCATATGACGACCATGACCAAACCATAGAAAGAGGATGAAGAAGAGAGAAAAACAAAGCATAGGCATGAGGAAAATGGAAACTTCAATTTCAAGAACAACCATGAGTAGTAGTAGTTTGGTAGTCGCAATTAGAAGTAAATGGAAGATAAAATGCAAAAGTGTATCGGGAACAACTAGATCGAGTAAATTATAGAAGGAAAAACATCAAAGGCAAACATATCTAGATAGATTCTTGCGAAGGAGATAAAGGTAAAGATATTAGTAATGAAAGATAAAGACAAAACAACCCATGTTGAAATAATAATCATATTAGACCAAAAAAAGGATAATCTAAGAATTGAAAAAAACATGCTTGAAGAATTTGGCGGACGACATCAAGATAGAAACCAAAGATGGTAAAAAAACTAAAAGAATGATAGGAACCTAAAGCAATAGTGTGAATTGATATGAAGCAGAAATATTGATTGTATTGCCGTACGTCTATTGGTATTACAACTTACATATATATAGCTACATATAACATCTAAACTAGGAAATTAAAGATATAAATCTTCCTAAACTCCTTGATTAGAGCCTTAAATTCCTATATTTACATCCTAAAATACACCTGTAATATTCTAAATATAATATTTTCTATTCCAACACTCCCCTTCAAGCTGACTTGTAAATGTCTTCCATTGCCGACTTGCTTACTAGAAAATCAAATTATTTTTTCAATAGACCTTTGGTGAGTATATCAGCAACTTGTTGAGAAGTAGGAATATAATGAACGTAAATTAGCCCACTTTCAAGTTTCTCCTTGATAAAGTGCCCATCAACTTCAATATGTTTATTCCGATCATGAAGAACCGAATTATGAGCAATTGAAATGACGAACTTTGTTATCATAATAAATTTTCATAGGAAGTGATGCAAGAAGCTTCAAATCTTCAAGCAATTTCTTAATCCACATAGCTTCATAAATCCCTTGTGTAAGGGATCTAAATTCTCGCTTCATCATTACTTTGTGTCACAACATTTTGCTTCTTACTTCTTTAAGTAACTAAATTTCCTCCAACGAATGTACAATATCCAGATGTTGTTTGCACTGTCCGTCACACTACCACCCAGATCAAGCATCAAGTATAGACTTTCACTTGAAAGTGATCACATTTTTTAAATATCAAACCCTTTTCTAAAGTCCTTTTTAGGTACTCGTAGTATCCTATAGGCGACTTCAAAATGCTCACGGCTCGGTACATGCATGAATTGGCTTATCATGCTTACCGTAAATGCTATATCGTGGCGAGTGTGCGATAGATATATAAGTCTACCCACCAAGTGCTGAAATTTCTCCTTATCAATCACATCCTCAATTTTAGTAGGATTTAGTTTGAGATTTACCTCAATTGGAGTCTCAAGCAACCTTGCAACCTAGAAGATTGATTTCATTCAATGAATCAAAGACATATTTCCTTTGATTTACAAAGATTCCTTCATACGATCTTGCAAATTCCATGTAAATATGTCAATGCTCCTAGGTCTTTAATCTCAAAGTCTTCGACTAGTCTCTTGTTCAATCTTGCTAATTCATCAAGATCATCACCCGTTAGTATCATGTCATCAACATATACAATGAGGATTGCTATCTTCCCTTTATCGGTGTGTTTATAAAAAAAAAGTATGATTTGCTCGACTTTGATGATACCCATATCCTTTTAAAGTCTTCCCAAACCGTTCAAACCATGCCCTTAGAGACCGTTTGAGGCCATAGAATGACTTCTTAAGTCCGTAAACTTTGTTTTGACCAATAAACTCTTTAAAATGAGGAGGTGGACTCATAAAGACTTCCTTTTCCAAATCACCATTTAGGAAGCATTTTTCACATCTAATTGGTATAAGAACCAATTGAAATTAACTGCAAGAGATAATAAAACACGTATAGAGTTAATTTTGGCTACTAGGGCAAAGGTTTCCCGATAATTAACACCATATGTTTGAGCAAATCCCTTAGCCACAAGTCTAGCTTTGTATCTCTCTACACTACCATCCGTCTTGCATTTCACAGTAAATACCCATTTACACCCAACTCGTTTTTTGACCTATAGGCAGACTTTACAATTTCCTATGTTCCATTTTTCTTTAGTGCATTTATTTCCTCCATCATAGCTGTTCTCCAATTTAGATCGTCAAGTGCTTCCCGAATGTTTCTTAGAACAAACGAAGTTAGAGATTTTTAAAGTAAATGCCTTATGATTTTGAGAGAGACAATCATAACATAAATATATTACAATTGGGTGATTAGTGCAAGAACGAGTTCCTTTTTTAAGCGCAATAGGAACATTAAGATCACAATATTCATCAAAAATAGCATTGGGTAAAA